CCCTTACGGATCTCCAGTACTATTTGTACCAAAGAAGGGGGGTACATTGAGGATGTGCATTGACTATAGAGGCCTCAATGCCATCACAGTAAAGAACGCAGAGCCTTTACCTCGCATAGACGACCTACTGGATAGGGTGAAGGGATGCAAGTACTATAGCAAGATAGATTTGAAATTCGGCTATCATCAGATCGCTATAAGACCTGAGAACCAACACAAGACAACTTTTAAGACTCGATATGGTCTGTATGAGTTTGTAGTGATGCCCTTTGGTCTTTGCAATGCGTCGGGAACATTCCAGCACGCTATGAATCGGATCTTCCATGACCATTTAGATAAGTTTGTCGTGGTTTACCTTGACGACATTCTGATCTTTAGTAAGTCTGCCAAGGAGCACGCAAAGCACGTTGAGACAGTTCTCTCACTCCTGCGACAGCACAAGTATAAGGTCAACTTAGAGAAGTGTGAGTTCGGTCGCACTAAGATACTAGGGTCATGAAGTATCCGCGGAGGGAATTAGGCCGGAAGATGCGAAGGTGGCTAGTATTCGAGACTGGCCACGACCTTAGACAGTCACTAAGGTCAGGTCATTCTTAGGAATGTGCGGTTACTATAGAAACTTCGTTAAGAACTATTCTACAGTCGCCTCTCCTTTGACAGATCTAACTCGACTTGACACGCCGTGGGACTGAAGTGATGAGTGCGAGGCTGCTTTCAAACGATTGAAGCATCCACTCATGAATCATGAGGTTCTCATGGTGCCCGATCCTCAGAAGCCGTTCATAGTGACCACTGACGCAAGCCATTACGACATTGGCGCAGTGCTGGCTCAGCAGGATGGGAAGAAGTTGAGACCGATTGAGTACATGAGCAAGAAAATGCCATCGAAGAAATTGGCAAAGTCCACCTACGAAAGGGAACTCTATGCTMTCTACAAGGCACTTGTCCATTGGAGACACTTTCTGTTGGGACGGTTCTTCTACTTGAGAACTGACCATCAGACGGTCAAATGGATCAAGACTCAACCGGCTCTTTCTGATGCACTCAAGCGCTGGATTGAGGTCATAGATCAGTATGACTTCAAGCTTGAGTATCTGAAGGGAGAGTACAACAAGGTTGCTGATGCGCTATCTCGTAGAGCAGACTACCTAGGGGCGCTAGTTTCCGAGTTTGGTGTATCTCAAGAAGTAACTCAATCGTTGGTGGGAGCCTATCAGGAAGACCCTGTCACGATGGACATCATTCGCAAACTTCAGGCAAAAGACAAGGCCACAGAGAATGAGTTTGTGATGGTGGATGGGTTACTCTTTCTTGATAAGGCCGGGTGTAAAAGATTAGTAGTTCCATCGAGTGAGAGTTTGCGTAGTTTATTTCTAGGAGAATGTCATGACGCAACTGGACACTTTGGCTACAAGAAGACGAGTGTCAATCTAGTCCAGCGATTTTGGTGGCCTGGAATGCTAGATGACCCAAAGAAGTATGTAGAGACCTGTCAAGTCTGTCAGCGGGACAAGCCGCGAACTCAGGCACCGCTTGGGTTGCTAAAGCCCTTACCTATCCCCGCTGGTCCAGGACAAAGTGTTTCCATGGATTTCATGGACACCCTGGTGACCAGTAAGAGTGGCAAGAGGCACATTTTCGTCATCATCGATCGATTCACCAAGTACACTAGATTAGTTGCCATGCCAGAGACCGCCAGGACGGACCACGTCATCAAGTTGTTTATGGACAACTGGGTGCGTGATTTTGGACTTCCAAAGTCAATCGTTAGTGACAGAGATGTCCGATTCACAAGTGAGCTGTGGAAGAAGACTGCTGAGCAGATGGGCAGTCAACTTCAGATGACTTCAGGGAATCATCCCGAAGCCAACGGGCAGGCCGAACAAATGAACAGAGTTGTACAGCACTTGCTGAGGCATTACATCAAGCCCAGCCAGGATGATTGGGATGAGAAGTTGCCTCTCATCGCCAGCCTGTACAACAATGGTGTACACAGCAGTACCGGCGTCAATCCTAATCAGCTGCGCTTGGGATGGAAGCCTAGATCAGCTCTAGACTTCCTCCTACCTGAGAACCGATCCTCTGCAACTCCAGGCACACTTGAGTATGGTGTGCAGTATGAGAAGTTGCTGCAGCAAGCTGTCGAGCACATCAAGAAATCTCAGCAAGCAATGATTGCTTCTGAGAACAAGCACCGACGACAGTCCTCATTTCAGGTAGGGGAACGTGTCTGGGTCAAGGCTACTGAGCTAGGACAGGAAGTCGGGATCTCTCGTAAACTAATGCCACAGTATTTTGGTCCTTGGGAAGTCTTGGATGTAGTGGGGGATGAGATGGATGGTCCTACCTATGTTATCCGTATCCCTGGACACCTACGCACTCACCCTCACGGGGGTCTCGTATATGGACAAAGGCGTAATGTTGACAGTACCATTCCATAATCTCTCTCTCTCTCTCTCTCTCTCTCTCTCTCTCTCTCTCTCTCTCTCTCTCTCTCTCTCTCTCTGCATGTCGGTAGAGATGTGACTCAGAAGCACTTCGCTGCTGTGAGAACGAAGTATGTTGGACTCCCTTTGCTGCTGTGAGAACCAAGTTTGTCAGACTCCCACGCTTTCACTGGAGCTCTGTGGAATGTAGATGTGACACCTCGTCAAATCCTGGGACGCCACACATTCAGCAGGGTTTGGAGTCGTGCTGCTTGCATCGCCTCAACACTAAAGTGCAGAAAATTAGGAGGAGAGTTGATCAAAAGAAATAGTCACAGGTCCATGTGGCGAATCACATTTGGTAGGTCTACCGAATGGCAATCATGGGGCAACTTCCAGTCTAGATACAGTGGTAAAAGACCGGGCGTTTTATTCGGGTGAAGACGGTAGTGTGATTGGGTGCTGTCGATATGTTGTTGCTTCTACTGCTGCTGGCGATGTCATCGTCGTGGTTGTTGTTGCTGCTGCTGTTGCTATGATCCTTGCCTTCATTGTCACCTTCTCTTCTTCCTGACCTTCGTTCATCATCATCATCACCGTTGTCGTTATTGTTATCTTCTTCTCTATCTCCTCCTCCTTTGGCAC